GAAATGAAAGCTGCCTCGCAGCCAGTTGGAACAAAGACGTTGCCCGCTCTTGTAAGGCAGGGCACCAACCTGGTTACTGGAGCGCTGTGGTGGAAGGGACTCGGGAAATGAGATAATCCCTGTGCCACCCAGACACTGTAACCCTGCTTCCAGCTGCCCCACAGCCGAGTTTGTGCCACAGAGGGAGCAGCCGCCTTTTCCAGGGCCTGCTCAAATCTGCCTTTGGCACTGAACTATGCTCAAATTTTGCTCCTGAACAGAGGGTTTGCAGCCACAGGCTTAGGATTTCCTTATCCCCCAAAATGACTCTGCACAGAAAAGCAGAAAATCTTGCTGTTCTGTGCATTTGTCAAAGGGCAGAACAGCTGTGCACTTACGCAGCATGTCTCCTGCTCCCTGATTCTACTTGCACATTCTCCATTTTTGTGCAAAGACACCTGCAGCACCCAGAGACTCTCGGGCCGAGGGGTTTCCAGTATTTCCAAAGGTCAACTGTACACTGCATGCTTGACAGTCTTGCCAGTGAACAGTGGCATGTAGAACACACTCAGAAACGTATGTATTTAAACCGTAAGGCATCCCAGTAAGGTTTGGGAAATCGTATTTCCGACACTAAAATAATCTAAAAAATTGCACAAGATTCCATCTCCATATCATTATCCTTATATGAACAGAGGACTATACAAACAGACTAATTCTAGCTCCGTACAGTAAGGTGGTGTTTGTCAATACATCTGTCAACATGTTGGGCTACAAAAATGATCCGAGGGCTGGAGCACCTCTCCTATGAGGACAGGCTGAGAGAGTTGGGCTTGTTCAGCCTGGAGAAGAGAAGGCTGCGGGGAGACCTGATTACAGCCTTTCAGTACCTAAAGGGGGCCTATAGGAAAGATGGGGAAAATCATTTAGCAGGGCTGGTTTTGACAGGACAAGGGGTAATGGTTTTAAACTAAACCAGGGTAGGTTTAGACTGGATATAAGGAAGAAATTCTTTACAATGAGGGTGGTGAAACACTGGAACAGGTTGCCCAGAGAGGTGGTGGAGGCCCCATCCCTGGAAGCATTCAAGGCCAGGTTGGATGGGGCTCTGAGCAACCTGATCTAGTTAGCGGTGTCCCTGCTCACTGCAGGGGGGTTGGACTAGATGACCTCTAGGGGTCCCCTCCAACCCAAAACATTCTATGACTCGAACGTATTTGCAATCTGTAATTACTTAATTACTAATTACTCAATCTATAGGGTACATGTACGATTCAGCTTTCAGAATACCTGTACAGAAGGGAAATTCTAGCCCAAGCCTACACTCCCTCCCACCACTGGCTTAAGGTTTAAGCAGAAGGTAGGAATAGCTGTAGCAGTCCTGGTAGCACAGCTTTATTTCCTGTATGGACCACAGCTTTGCTTCCCATTTCTGTTAAACAGAGGGCACAAAATTAAATTCAGAATCTTCTGCTTGCTTTCATCAGCCCCCACATTTCAGACTTGCTTTGTACAAGCATAAAAATGAAATGCAAAAGAGAACAAAAAAAGTCAAAATAAACCCCTCTGGGACTACCTGTGTAGAATAAAATCCTGCCCTTTACTCTTCACGGCAAAAGAAACAACACAAATGTCGGAGTGCTGCCGCGTAACGCCCAGCAGGTCACCTGTGGGGCAACCGAACAGCGGGCACAGTTGAAAAGAGATTCTTTCCCAGGCAGGTTTCCACAGCTCTTTTTAAAGCCCAGCTGAGCTACAATACAAAAACTTCCAGCTCCATCATAGATGAAGCTGAGGAGCCAGGATTGTGCCTGGCAGTTAAGAGCTCTTTTCCTACATACATCTTTTCCAAAATACATGGGGATGGGTTTTTCTTTTTGGTTTGCTATAATGTGAATCTAGAAATGAATGGGGAATCTTGGTGCTCGTGCGATGGGCACAAATATCATCTGGGCTCTAGGAAGGGCATCGTTTGTTACAGCTTCCACGTGCCTACAGATAACTGATGACGCAGCAACTGACTTGTGATCCCGAGTTACCCCAGGTTAGAAAGGTCAAAAGAGTCCAGAGCTGGCATGCTGTAATCCGTGCTGCTGGTTTAATAACAGAGAAGCCAAATAATGAAAGACATGAACTGAAGAATTTCGTATTTTTGGCCTGTTCTATGATCAACCCGTGGGGACATTTCTGTTAACATCAAGGGGAGTTACAACACAGTGAAAACATGCTCCTGCTCCTCCACCACCTTGCAATATGTCATTGCATTTCTAAACTTGTTCACGTTACAGTCTGATCTGGGTTCATTCCAAACACAACAGCGTACCTGATAAAGGTCGTTTCTCATGTTAATGATGTCATTGTAATTCACATCAGGCATCACTTCCAACAGGTTTTTCACCAGCTCAGTATGAAGGTGGATAATTGCTAAATGAAGGACACTGAAACAAACAAAAACCAGATTAACACATCCACATTATTTTCAAATTTATTATAAAAATTGTCAGGTTTTGCTGTACATCTCATTGAATTCTAATTGATATTAACACTTGACATGAGAGGTCATGATTTCAGCCCTAAATATCAGCACCTAAAATGAATCCCAGCATTAAAAAAAGGTAGTCAGAAGAGAACTGTGTTTAACCCTTCAATCACAGAAACAGGCTCAGGATGGCTTTTGCTGGTCCTGAGCATGACTTAACTAATAATCTAACAAATGACAAACCTTGTATCACTACAGAATTGTTTCAGAATTTGTTTGAAATCACCAGATTCTTTGCTGGTTTTTTTGGTTTTGTTTTTTTTTTTTTTCAAGTTTTGAATTATGCAGCACACATGAACACCTCTTACTGTCAAAACCTTCCTTCAGAATTTCCACAGGCGCCTCTGCCACCAAAGCAGATTTTCCTTTGGGGGTTTCCCCAGATCTGTGGGTTTTTCTTTTCTTTGTTTTCAAACAGAAAAACAACTGAGGACTCGGGCTGGTGACTAACAGCCACAGGATCTGCAGTGGTGGCCAGAGACGTCACACCAAAGGAAAAATCTGGTTTGGGACATGAGTGACTCCGCATAGCCAGACGCTTCACCACGGCTCATGGGCTAACGCAACGGCCTTTCCCATGCTCTCCTCCAGAGTCACGGTCCTTCCCCACCACCCAG